CACATTGTACCCATGTGGGGAATCGAACCCAGGACTTCGGCGTGACGAGTGAATGCTTTAACCACTAGGCTACCCCACCGCCCAGACGATTTAAGTGCTCTCACTGTTTAGTCAGCTGAACGCACTGCAGAATCTTTATTGGCACAACTGGAAACTGGGTCATGAACAACTCTTTGATTATCCTTGAAGAAGGAAATCCAGGAAATCTGACATCAATACTGTCCATCACCTACTCTATCAGTGTATAAAGACAGTCAATATACAATATACTTCCCGGGGAGTTGAGAATTAAAATCCTTATTGCCTGTTTACTATGTTGGAAGGATCACCAGCGAGAAGACTATTACAGTAATTTGTCCCTAACAAGGTAATGAACGAATGTATTTGCTAATTTCCTTGTGATATATTTTAGTTATATCGTATTGGATCCGATTACTCAGACAATCCGAAACCCGCTATTCAAAACGATGCTACTACATGCCGAAACGACTTGACGACACAGGGGATGTAAACTGGGTATCATATGTTTGGCAATTACTATTTAGTTATGGTTTTGGATGGGCGTGGCTTGCACAGGATATATATACGAATAAAGTCTGTCTGTCTATTTCATTGCGAGTGTGTAGTGGATATATCCACCTGTATAAAACATGACATTAAACTGCATCAGTGTGTTAAGTAAAAGACGCGATATACTGGTAAATTAAGATTCTAACAATTAGAACACAGAATCAAGGCACTGTGGTAACTGATATAGGTTATGATAGGCTCACATACAATTATAAATACATGTTGGTTGTTTTGTGCACTGTTCCAGTGGGAGATCGATAGAATCTACTTCTTAGTCGGTGCGTGGGGATGGTTCTACCAGGTCTTCAAGAAGTCGGAAATAAGGAAATAAACCAATTGTTCTACATTTCGAGATGATTTATCGCTGTTGAACTCCGCTAAATGTTACGTTCAGAAAAAACAGTGTCATCCCCATTCTGCCATAACCAGAAAGAAGACTGTTTTTCTTGCGGACGTATGTAGGTTTATACCTCATTAATCACTTAAAATGCAGTAGGATAAAAATATTGGATTAGATTATCCTTCATTGTTATGGTACAGTATAAAATTCCGGTCTCTGCTAATAGCCGTGAAACTAAAACAGAGGGAAAGATTCTCATCAACTGAAGATGAACGGTTGACATCACCTCACTGATCAGGAACGGGGTATGAAACAGGTTACCGGGAGGTTAAGGTAGTGTAATTACCATGGAAACAGGTTACCCGGAGGTTAAGGTAGTGTAATTACCATGGAAACAGGTTACCCGGAGGTTAAGGTAGTGTAATTACCATGGCAACAACATCGCAAGTGTTCAACGTTACTGCAGTTGTCGAACTGATAATGGAACGGTAATATCATGGTAGGAGGAACCACTTTACCTTCTTACCATGAGACTCGTGCGTCCGTTTTGGTTTCATGTAATATAATACTATAATACATTTACTTGAAAGGAATCAAAGAACGCCCAATTTTCTTTCATGGCAGATTAACCACAATAATAGGAGAGAATCGGGTGTTCTTGTTACTGGACACTTGAAATCGGCTTCAGTTCATAAATAAATAATCGAATCGAATCGAATTACCTGTTTAGTTTCCTAAACTCGGAAATGAAGCTGGGGTGGTAATTATATTATATATTTATTGCTTCTTTAAGGTGAGACTATGCACACATGTACATGGAATATTTAGCTGTTGGTGGCTTAGTTCATTTTTAAAAATAATATAACGTTATTATAGAAGCCCATGGGAACATAGTTGGTTTCGTCTAACCTTCAAGAGCGTGCTGTCAATGTTATGTTGGTATGTTTAAGCATCAGATAATTGCTAAAAGCCATCAGACAGACCGACATGTTGGTGACACATATGTTCAGACACCGTACGTTCGTCTAAGCAGTCCCACCCTGGACCACCGATACTTCCACATAGACGTATGACAGTACCAGGGATAATCTACAACGTTATATGGTCTCCATGATAGTACCAAGAAAGCTTTGTAAAACGATACCCGGGCATCCGAGCAATGGAACATATGTGACATTTCAATAAAGATCACATTAAAATATCTTATGGCCATATGAGATGCAACGGGTGAAATAAACTAGTAACCCGCCGGTAACCTATTATCGTGTTCGGTTAACAGGAGCTTTCCTTGGAATCCTTGTTATTTGCACACCCCGCACGGAGGGCATCAAATTGATTTTCATGAGGTACTGAACTTCAATCTTGCAAATTGTAACCAGTCTCCGTCGGGAATACAATACAACGGTTGTTGCCGTTCTGCGTGTTTGATGTTATCCTACAATACCAATAAGGATGAACTAGATCGTGTCGTAGGCATACCGCAGTTTCCAATACAGGTAACCACCTCACAGGGTGTCCGGCCGGCA